TGTCTCATATTGTTAATTTATTGAAGTAAAATATACATAAAGTGCACAAGCCTTCAGTGTATAAGCTAATGAATTGTTACATGTGTGTAGCCACCATCCAGATCAAGAGGAAGAATATTTTCAGCATCCAGGAAGGCTCTCTCGTGCCTCTTTCCTTCAGTATCCACTCCCAGAGGTTACTTAGAAAAAAATCACTATTCCAGATTTCTAGAAGGATTGATTAATTCTGCCTGTTCTTGAACTTCATATAAATAGGTTCGTATCATAAGCACTTACTGGGTTGTTTTAAGTTGTTGTCTGTTGTTAATAAAGCTGCCCTGAACGTTCTAGTGGTGTATGTCTGTTCATGGACAAATGCCCTCATTTCTAGCATTGGAATTGCTAGTAGGCATACGTTTAGTTTTTTAGACAATGCCAAAGAATGTTCCATAGTGAATGTGCTAATTAACACTTCTAGCAGCAATGCATGAGAATTCTAGTTGCTGCACATATTACACCAACACTTGGTACGGCATATGTGTTTTAAAATATTTTAACTGTTCAGGTGGATTTGTAGTGGTATCTCATTGTAGTTTTAATTTAAATTTTATATTTCCCTGCTAATCAATGATACTGAGCACATTTTCAAATTTTCTTTTTCTGGAGTGCAGTTATGCAATCATGACCCAGTGCAGCCTCAACTTCCCAGGCTCACATGATCCTCCCACTTCAACCTCCTGAATAGCTCGGACTACAGGCACACACCACCATGCCTGGCTAATTTTTTTTTTTCTAGAGATGGTGGGGTAGGGTAATCTCACTATGTTGCCCAGGCTGGTCTCTAACTCCTGTGCTCAAGTAATCTTCCCACCTCCTGAAGTGCTGGTGGCATTACAGCATGAGCCATCATCCCTGGCCTCATATGTTTACTGACTATTTGAATGAGTCTAGTGAAGTTCCTGATCAAGTCTTTCGTCATTAAAAAAAAACCTATTTGTCTTTTTCTTGTTGATTTACAATAGTGCTTTGTATCTTTAGGATGAGTCCTTTCTCGGGTATGTATTTTGCAAATGTTTCCTGCAATTTGTGGCTTCCATTTTTCATTTTTTTCTCTTTTTTCTTTTCTTTTCTTTTCTTTTTTTTTTTTTTGAGATGGAGTCTCACTCTGTTGCCAGGCTAGAGTACAGTGGCACAATCTCAGCTCACTGCTACCTCAGCCTCCTGGGTTCAAGCGATTCTCCTGCCTCAGCCTCCTGAGTAGCTGGGACTACAGGTGTGCACCACCACACTTAGCTAATTTTTGTATTTTTAGTAGAGACAGGGTTTCACTATGTTGGCCACGATGGTCTCGATCTCTTGACCTTGTGATCTGCCTGCCTTGGCCTCCCAAAATGCTGGGATTACAGGCGTGAGCCACTGCACTCAGCCTCCATTTTTTATTTTCTTAATGCTATTTTTTGATGAATAGAAGTTTCTAGTTTTGATGAATTTTATTTCATTGACTTTATTGATTTATTTTTAAAATTTTTACATTTATTTATTTAATAGATATGAGGTCTCACTGTGTTGCCCAGGCCAGAGTGCAGTGGCTGTTCACAGGTGCTATCATTGTGCACTGTGACCTCAATTTCCTGGGCCCAAGTGATCCTCCCACCTCAAGCCTCCTGAGTAGCTGGAACTACAGGTAGGTGCTTGGCTAACCTTTATTTTTCATTTTGGCTACTCCTTCCTGATTTTGAAATCTTTGTGTACTTTACGTTCATTAACATATTCTCTTTCTAGAAGCTGTACTTTCCCTGTCATACTTAGGTGTATGGTCCATTATTAATTCATTTTTTATTTTAGTATGAGGCAAAGGTCCAGATTTAATTTTTTTCCCCAATTGGTCCAGCACCTTTTATTGAAAAGTTATATCATAAATTTGTAAATGCATTTATGTCTGTTCACCTCATAGGTGCACTAATGGAAAACCAATTCACCAGATTTACTTGGTTTTTTTTTTTTTTTTTTTTTTTTTTTTTTTTTAGACAGAGTCTCCCTCTGTCGCCCAGGCTGGAGTGCAATGGCATGATCTCAGCTTACTGCAACCTCCTGCCTCCTGGGTACAAGCGATTTCCCTGCCTCAGCCTCCCGAGTAGCTGGGACTACAGGTGTGCACCACCATGCCTGGCTATTTTTTTGTATTTTTAGTACAGATGGGGTTTCACCTTGTTGGCCAGGGTGTTCTCAAACTCCTGATCTCAAGTGATATGCCCGCCTCAGCCTCCCAAAGTGCTGGGATTACAGGTGTGAGCCACCATGCCTGGCCTACTTGTTCTTTTTAACTAATTATAAAATTTATAACAACTCATATGTTGAAGTGATTTTAACAGCTTTAAAAGATTTCTGCGGCATTATCATTGACCTGTTTTTACTGTCTTAGTGATAGCTTTGTAGGGAAGATTAATTTTTCCTGAGCCCAGCAGAGAGAGGTGAGACTGATGGACATAAAAAGAATATACTCAAGAAAATGTATTAATCAATAATGTATTTTATTATTAGAATACATCCATAAGAATCCTTTATATTTATGCATATGCTCTTCATGAATCTCTTCTTGTGGATGTATTTATTTACTTATACATTTGTTAATTCAACGTATATTTATTGAATAAATTTTTGAATATGGTAATATACATTCATATTTATTATCATTATTATTATTATGAGACACAGTTTCATTCTGTTGCCCAGGGTGGAGTGCAATGGCACCATCTCAGCTCACTGCAACCTCTGCCTCACAGGTTCAAGGGATAAGTAGCTGGGAATACAGGGGCCTGCCACCACACCCATCTATTTTTTGTATTTTTAGTAGAGATGGGGTTTCACCATGTTGGCCAGGCTGGTCTCGAACTCCTGACCTCAGGCAATCCGCCCGCCTTGGCCTTCCAAAGTGCTGGGATTTGGGGCGTGAGCCACCGCACCTGGCCTCATATGTATAATTTTTAGTTAAATTAATATTTATGGTTTTCATCATTATGACTTTGTAATATTTTTCACAGCTGAGCTACATGGTATACCATAATTACCTTCTTTGATAACCTTTTGTTCTTCCTGGGATTAATAATTGCCTCCTGTTCTTTGCTTACTTTTCTAAATATTTATTCCTAATTCAATACCAGCTTTCAGACACTATTTTCTGGTCAAATGCATGAGGCAATATGTCAGTTCCATTTTCCCCTCTTGGAAACAACCGTCGTTTAGCCCTCTTTCTTCTATTCCACCATAGACTGATTGCCTTCTAGTCTGGTAGCTCAGCAAGTGCCCTGGAATTTTTTCCTTTACCTTTCTCCTGTGTTAGGTCCCTAGTCACTGGATTTCATATTTCCGTTGTCTTAGTTTAGTTCCCGGTTTAGTGGACAATTCTCCAGAAGCTTTCTGAGAAAGGATACATGGGAGATAATGTCCTGAAAATGTCCATTCACATTTGATTGGTAATTTGGCTGGGTTCAGAAATCTAGTTGTGGACACTATTTTCCTTTATTGAAATGATTTAGAACGCATTGCCTCATTGTCTTTCAGCTTTTGGTGTTGGTGTTGCTGTGGAGGAAAAAATATGTCATTCTAATTCATAATCCTTTCTATGCAATCTTTTTGGTTTGTTTTCTTTCTGGAAATATTTAGGATCTTCACTTTATTCCTCTGATATTTCACGATGACAAACTTTCTTGTGGGGCTTTGCCACACGCTGTGCAGGGTAGTTGGTGAGCCTTTTAAATCTGGAGATTTAAGGTCTTCGGTTCTGAAAAATAATCTTATATTACATCTTTATCTCTTTATTCCACTTTCTCCTTCTCTTTTCCCAGAATCCCTATTAACTTGTTGGCATATCTTCTATTACACACCCTTCTGTTTTCTTATCAATTCTCTGCCATTTTCCATCATTCACCCCAAACTTTCCAGATTTCTACAACCTTATTTTAAAATTTTAGGCCGGGCGCAGTGGCTCACGACTGTAATTCCAGCACTTTGGGAGGCCGAGGCGGGCGGATCACTTGAGGTCAGGAGTTCGAGACCAGCCTGACCAAAATGGAGAAATCCCTTCTTAACTAAAAACATAAAACTAGCCGGGCTTGGTGGCGCATGCCTGTAATCCCAGGTACTCCGGAGGCGGGAGAACCGGTTGAACCTGGGAGGCGGAGGTTGCTGTGAGCCGAGATTGCGCCACTGCACTCCAGTCTGGGCAGTAAGAGCCAAACTCCGTCTCAAGAATAAAAAAAAAAGAAAATTTTTTAAAACTCCAGTCATTATAATATTATTAATAATATTAAGAGCTCCCCCCTCCTTTTTGTTTCATGAGTGCAGCGTATCTTCTCTTACTTTCCCAAGGATTAATTGTAATTTTTTAAAAATCCAGGTTCCGGCCGGCGCAGTGGCTCACGCCTGTTATCCCAGCACTTTGGGAGGCCGAGGCGGGTGGATCACGAGGTCAGGAGATTGAGACCATCCTGGCTAACATGGTGAAACCCCGTCTCTACTAAAAACACCAAAAAATTAGCCGGGTGTGGTGGCGGACGCCTGTAGTCCCAGCTACTCGGGAGGCTGAGGCAGGAGAATGGCGTGAACCCTGGAGGCGGAGCTTGCAGTGAGCTGAGATCGCGCCACTGCACTCCAGCCTGGGCGACAGAGCGAGTCTGTCTCAAAAACAAAAACAAAAACAAACAAACAAAAATCCAGGTTCCTCCACTGTATTTGTTTCCTCTTAGGTTCTTCCTGCCCCCTTCTGTTGGTATTCATCCTTGTCTTATTGTAGAAATGTTTTCACAACCATCTGATTATCCTTGGTTGTCATACATATTTTAAGTAAGGCACAAAACACCTGATTCTGGAAGCTCTGTGGACCTGGGCCAAGCCTGTAGACTGGAGTGTCTTTGGGGATTCTATGGAGACCCAGCCATTTCTTTGGGAGACCCTGAAATACCAGTGTTTGTCGTTGGTTTAATTTTTATTTTTTCCTCGTAAACTGACTTGTATATCTCATCTGTCTTTCTTTATGTCTGGAAAACTTTATCTCAGTTTCCCTTGACATACTCCTTCAACCTCCTGGGAGAGGTAGTGGGAGGGGAGATGAGCCTGTTTGACTAGTTCTGGGAATGTGGTGAGGGAAGAGATCTGGGGATTTCGGCTCTGTGCTGACATTTCCTTCATGCTAATCTGGTTTTGCACCCCTGCAGTTCACCCTCTTTCAACTCCTGACCGAGTTAACTCTCGTTACTCACATCGACAGTCATTCTTCATGTTCAAAACCCCATTCATCCCCCAGTCTCCACTAACTCTCCTGCTTCACTTCCGGTCTACATTGGCTCACTCATTTCTTCCCTGCTGAGCTCTTTGGTTTGCTAAGCAGCATCTCGGGAACAGCCCCCGTGCTACATGTTGTTTCTTGCGCTGGATGTGAGTTTTTTCTTGTCATGCTATGTGTTCTTTCTCGTTTAGGGGAGAGTCGCGGCTGGGTTGTTAGGATGGTCGCGCCCCGTACCCGGGACGTGCAGGGAAGTGTAGAAGGGGGCGAGGGGCGAGAAACGCTGAATTCTAGCCTGAATTGGGAGGAGAGCCTCGCGAGTTGAGTTACGGTTCCTGATTCCATTTAGATAGAACGTTTTGTTAACTTGTAGGAATTTCCTTTTCCATTTCTTTCATTAAACTGCGAACGTAGTAATGACTTACACTGGTTGCACATTCATTACAATTGAAGATTATATTGATTTGCGAGCGCAAGTATCCCAGGTGTCAGGATGGCCGAGTGGTCTAAGGCGCCAGACTCAAGCTTGGCTTCCTCGTGTTGAGGATTCTGGTCTCCAATGGAGGCGTGGGTTCGAATCCCACTTCTGACACATGTATTTTATTCTCCCTCCACTCCACTTTCTCAGACATTTCTGTGTTTTCATTCTCTCTACTTTTTCTATCCTAACTAAAATGATACACTATCAATGAGGTCTATCCTCTTCCTTTTCAGTCTTGTTCGCTGTTTAATAGTGAATCACGTTTTGCTCTGCTTTGGTCAGTTCGTTAAAAGGCGCGTTCATTTACTACATGAGTACTCACCCAGAGGCGTCCTGGGAGGAAACCAAACTAAGTGGGGGTAGAAAGACATGTATACAGACTCCATTATTACATACTGGCCCTGAGCTCATAGGTTATTGGGACTGCAGATTACGTGTTTTTCCTCACGGCCAGACACCATCAAAAATAAAGTGATGAAAGTGAAATTGAAAGCAGCAAGGTTCACGCTCAAGTTACCGGAAGCAGGGCAAAAAGAGAACTACGAAAGGTTCCACCGAGATTTGAACTCGGATCGCTGGATTCAGAGTCCAGAGTGCTAACCATTACACCATGGAACCCTCCTTAGCAGTGGCTGGATATTCGATCCACCTGGGATCTCTCTTTTCTTCTACTTACTAATTGATTTAAAGTAATTTTGCAGGAGCAGTTTTTTGTTTTGGAGTACCAAACATAGGGGTGCGAGAGGGAGGGCTCACACACTGTTTCCACTGCGCCTTTCTCCCAGGTTTCTTTCCATCCTTCGGGGCAGCGCAGTATACTGATCTGGGAATATGGTTATTCCTGGAGATTTTTCTTCCGTTTCCAGCCCACGAAAAGATAAATTGAATTTTAGTCTCACAGTTTGAAAGGGAGAAAAGAGAGAAAAGAAGAATATACTATCTACTTTCTACAGTCTCATTTATTCATCGTACGATACCTACAGATGCCTCTAGAACAACCTCCGAGTATCTTGGCACTGCCCCTCAGTTGTAACCATGGGCTTGAATTTTTAAAATCTGCCTCCCGCATTCCTGCAAAATGCCTTAAGTGCAGGACTGAGTCTCACTCCTCTTTGATAACCCACGGTCTGCTACTTTGTAGAAGCTCAATCAATGTTTGCTGCATGAATACATAAATGAAAGAATGAGTGAATGAATGAACGAATGAATGAATACTCAGTGGGACAGCCCAACTTAGACTTTTGGAAGACTTTAGACTTCTTTTTTGCCTTCACTCGCTAGGCTAAATTTTAAAAGTTCAAAAGGGAACTCCTCCTCCTCCTATCTTCCTCCTATCTTCTTTCGCCTTTCCAGGTCCCGGCTCCCAGGTGGACATCTTAGCGTCCAGATGGCCCCACAAATTGGTGTCCTTTAGTATGGATGACCAAATGAGGATGTTATAGTGCTGGACGTAGTCGTTTATTTTTTCAAATCTTAACTTTATTAAAATAACATGGTTATTTACCTAGTAACTGTAAGAACAACATAAAACAAATAGACCACATACATACGTGGCTTGTCTGGAAGAAATACTCAGGTATAAGTTACTACTTTAGTCAATCTTAATATTAATTATTGGTCAATTACGCTTTTTTTTTTTTTTTTTTTCCTTGAGACGGAGTCTCGCTCTTTCGTCCAGGCTGGAGTGCAGTGGCGCAATTCCACCTCCCGGGTTCACGCCATTCTCCTGGCTCAGCCTCCCGAGTTGCTGGGACTACAG